GATGGAGAAAACTAAGAGCTACAAGTGATAAAGCTGCGTTAACTAGTAAGTTTCAAGCTTTCGAATTACTGACTATATATATATATATAATCTGACTCTGACGTCTGACGTCTGACTCTGAAACAGCTTCTTGATCAGCAGTCAATTAATTTTACAGTTTCAATTCCTTCAGTTTTTGTAAAAACTCGATATTTTGCCGCCAATTTTTCTATTTAAAAATTCATTTTATCCAGGAGGTTGAGATCATGATATTTTGCCATATTCAAATGCAAAAGCTAAAAATATTGACAAATTTTTTGTGCTTACTTCTAGGAAAACATATAAGCCACAATTAAAGAAGATACAATTAAAGTTCAAAATGAAAAGAAAAGAAAAATGGGCAAATTGAAAATGATTGAAAAGACTACATGTTGAAAAGACAACAAAACTTAAAAATAGAAGAAGCAAAAGTATTGTCAAAGTATCATCCTAGAAAAAATCGTTGCTATAAAAAACCAATAAAAGTATAAAAAACAATACGTAACTTAATTATATTTTAATAAATGGTTTTTTCATTAACTTTATATATTGGTAAAAATATTTTTGTTTTTAGTGTTTAAAAAAGTCTTTTAAAGATTTCACTAAAATAATTTTTAATGCAAAATATTCTATGCAAAATGCAAATATTATATTTCATGCAAATCTTTCAAGACATAAGTATTTACATTCCAAAAAAAAAGATTCTTTTTTTTTGTTACCAACATGTATACGTTTTTTTTTCTTGCCCAATGACAAAGTGTCGCAACTTATCTTCTGAAAACATTTTTTTTTACTAGTTTTGGTAAATATTAAGTTTAGTTTACTAGTTTTGGTATCCTTATTAAGTTTAGTTTACTAGTTTTGGTATCCTTATTAAGTTTAGTTTACTAGTTTTGGTATCCTTGTTAAGTTTAGTTTACTAGTTTTGGTATCCTTATTAAGTTTAGGCAAGTTTATTTTTGGATAAATGCTTAGTATTAAGTTAAGCAATCATTTTCTAATTGATGTTTTAGAACATGTTCTTTTTAACTTTTAACTAAATAAACTTTAAATAAATCCAATTTTTTTAAAACTGTTTACCAATTGTTTAGCTGTCAACCGGCCATTTTGTAGGGTTAAAAAAATTATTGATTCAAATTTTAATAAAATAATTAGTTTTTAAGATATTAAATGCCAACCCATAAAAGTAGTGGTAAAAGGCTTGTTTTTTTATATTGGCTGTAATTAGGTTCATTCCGCACACGCCGGGCTGAAATTTCATGTAGATTTTTTTGTTAACTTTTCTTTAGAAACAATTTTGTAAAGAGCGGCTGAAATTTGGTCACTTTACCCTATATAATATAAAGATGTAATATTAATGCTGGGAAAAAATCTGTTACAGGGGTCATCAACACATACTATATTTTAACCTGTCATTTTAAATGTCTTTAACACTCATTATCTTTTTACCTGACATTTCCAAAAACTGTCAACTTATTCCTATTACAGAGATTTTATTACAACCAATTTTGAAGTTAAACATAAAATTAATAAGTTTTGAAAAATTGCTTTGCTAGTCAAACCCTTTATTTACTGATTTATAACTACAAGGTTGTTAACAATCCATTTCGGTACAAAAGAGTTAATTGATCTATGGAATCTTAGGGTTTACACTATACTTAGGCTTTATTGGCTAGACTAATAGTAACAACAATAACAATATATATTCTGAAATAAAAATTTTTACATTTCATGGTCATTTATGAATGATATGGGTACTAGTCTAAGGTAAATGCCAATTAAGTAATGATAGAAATCATATAGTTAAATTAAAGTAAATTTAATAAGGAAAATTAAAATAACAATAGCAGTATTATTATTGATTTAGTATTATTAGTATTTAGTATTATTAGTGATTATAGTAGTAATAATAATAATAATCTTGAGAAATATTACAGATAAATATTAAGCAATATTAAAAAGTAATAATGATAGTAATAAAATGTAAATAAAATGGAAGTAATATTTACATCACATATAAAAGTAATAATTACAATAGCAATAACAATAATGATCCACAATGAGCCTATCATTCCACATACAGTATTTTTTTTTAACAAATAGACAAAGACAAATAGAATTGAGAGATTGAAGATGAAGAGGTAAATTATTCCACGATTTTATGCATTGGTTTGTGATTTATTACCATATTTTACCGAACAATGATTTGGTATAGATAGTTTAAAGTTACTAAAAGATTGTTGATAATACTGACAATTTAATAGAGGAACAAGATCACGGTAACAGGATAAAATCCCCCCGGAAAAAAATCCCTCGATAAAATCCCCTCAAAATAATCCCCCGAGAAAAAATACCCCAGGAAAATATCCCCCCAAACAAAAATTTTTTTTTTCAAAATTAAAAATTATCAATAAAATAGTTATATTTATTTATTTTAATTATTTATATAAAATACTTCATTTTTTTATCAAAATGTCAAGTTATGCGCAATTTCTCGGTTGTCGGTAAAATGCGAACTGCAAACCGCGAACTACAAACCGGTAAAATGCGAACTTTTTTGCGAACCAAAACATTACATTTTAAAGACCATTATTTTAATGATAAAAATAAAAATAAAAAAAATTATCCAATTCTTAATTATCTATTTTAAAGCTTTATTTAAATAAAAATTTTATTTTTTAACTGTAAAACATCCGTGGAGTGCATCTTATAGCCTGACTCGCAACGGAGTACTGCAACATCGGAGTGCAACTAGATCGACTGAGGCCTCAGTCGATCTAGTATCTATCAAAATGATAAATAAAAACAAACCCTCGAGGGTTTGGTTTGGCCAGGCAGTCTATCAAATAATTATAATATGTATATATTTTCATATTGTATTCGTCTAGTTTCACTTAATTTCCTTTTATTTTTTTTAAATAATTTTTTCGCTTTAAAGTCCTTAAAAATATACTGCTAAATTAACTATTTAACGGTTAACGATAAAAAAAGTATTACATCATTAACAACCAATACGACGATGGTTCACAAAAAAGTTCACATTTCACAGTTCGCAGTTCGTCAGGGTTAGGGTTACGGTTAGGGATTCACATTCGCTACCTTCGAGGAGCAGCACATAACTTGAAAAATGAAGTATTTTATTTAAATATTTAAAAACATAAAAAAAAATTTTTTTTTGGGGGGGGGATTTTATCCGGGGGGATTTTTTCTAGGGAGGATTTTTTCTTGAAGGGATTTTTTCCCGGGGAATTCTTTCCTAGAACCCAAGATCACATAATTTCAGGGTCGACGACACCGAAGGGGAGGGGCTAGGGGGTCCATAGAAAATGTGCCCCTGCCCCCCACTATTATTCTAAAGGACCTTGATATAAAGGACTATTTTCACAAATTGATGAATCCCCCCCCCCCCTACTTCAAAACCCGTGTCGTCAGCCCTGAATTTGAATATTTTTGATTGAAAGTAAACGATGTCTGAATTAAAACGGTATTGTTGAAAGTTTATTATTTTTAAAACCTTGTTTTTTAGATTAGATAAACTTAAAAATGTATGAGACTGGCTTAGTCTCCAAACCTGACAAGCTGAGATGTGATCCAAAAATTGCCTTAAAATTACATTTGATCTACACAATTTCACTACTAAGTCTTTAAGTTGACAAAAAAAAAAGGGTAAATTCAAGTTAATTTTGATTCCAAGATATTTTGATAAAACTAGAGGAAAATTTCTTGGCCACTTAGTCTGAAGTTTAGGTGTTATAGATTTTATATAGATTTTATAGATTTTAGGCGTTATAGATTTTATATTGACTTGACTTGAAAATGATAAGTTCAGTTTTGTTGGTGTTAAGACTTGATTTGTTAGAGCGCAGCCATTGAAGTAGTTGAATAAACCATGATTATTATATTTGTTGATTTTTTTAAGTGATTTGTTTGCTATGAGTAAGTTAGCTTCATCAGATTTTTTTTGTTTTTCAGTCGTCGATTACTGCGTTGTTTTTCAGTCGTCATTTATATGATATATATTTATGACGTCAGTTCAACCTCGAAAGTTGTTATTAATTTTGTTACATTTCTAAAAAAAACTTAACGCATATTTATGAAAAGTAATATTAGCTTTTCATTTATAAATATTCTGGAACAAATATAAACAAATAATTTTTAATTCGATGCCAAGTATATATATTTAATATTAAAATAAAATAATATATTTGATATTTAAAACATTTTTAAAAAGCATTTAAAACCACCTTTCGTGTTTGAATTTCGGACACTTTCGGACCATCTCGGACTTAAGCCTTGCATCATTTTGTTGTTAACAATTTTTTTTTTTTTTTTGTGCCATTGAAGACTTTACGTTGTATAATCTAAAATACGTTATGTGTTTTTGTTCTAATGTCTTTATAATGAATGAAGAGTATAACTATTGACTTGATGAAAGTATTATTGTTGATTTACTTGTCTGTAAATAATTTTATGAAAATTTTTGTACTTTTACTTGTCTGTAACATAGTTTGCCACAAATATGCAAGTTATAAATATACAAATTTTGTATATTTTTAACATTTTTAAGGTAACCAATATCTGATAGTAATCAGGATAATTTTAAATGATATTTTATATCATTTTGTTGTTAACAATTTTTTTTTTTTTTTTGTGCCATTGAAGATTTTACGTTGTATAATCTAAAATACGTTATGTGTTTTTGTTCTAATGTCTTCATAATGAATGAAGAGTATAACTATTGACTTGATGAAAGTATTATTGTTGATTTACTTGTCTGTAAAAAATTTTATGAAAATTTTTGTACTTTTACTTGTCTGTAACATAATTTGCCACAAATATGCAAGTTATAAATATACAAATTTTGTATATTTTTAACATTTTTAGGGTAACCAATATCTGATAGTAATCAGGATAATTTTAAATGATAATTAATGAGTTGAGTATTTGCTTAATAGTTTAATGTAGTAAAATCTTAAGTATTATTTGTAAATTTGTTGTCAATTTGTTTAAGATATAGTTAACTATGACTTCTAATATTAAAAAAGTTGCAACTCAACTGGTTGGAATTAGTGTATCAAAAACTCCAAGAAAAACTTTGGTTGATTTATATTCACAGACATTATCTATACTTGGGTCTATGCCAGCATCTTCAGTTTATAGGCTGCAAACAGAGGAAATTACAAGAAAGCGATTAGAGACGGTTCAAAATGAAGAGAACGTAATTTTGATTGAAGAAAAGATAAATTGTGGACAAATAGAGGAAGTAATTATTCAAGCAAAAGATGAACTCTCATTAGCTGAGAAAATTATTGAGTTCAAACCATGGGAGCCTTTAAATGAAGTTGCACCTCCAGGACAGTGGGCGTAGTTATTTTCATATACATACACCTGTAATTGATAAAGTTTTGCAGTATAAAACTTTTTGTTACTCTATTAAACTCTACAAAATAAATTAGATCACCTAATTATGTGTTATTTGTTATTTTGTTGCTAATTATTATTTATTATTCAACTGTTATAATTATTTCATTATGATTATATAAAATATTTTGATTTTCTAAAAAAAGAGACATTTTTTGATGTAGTTCAATTAAATTTGTGAAGCAACTTTATTTTTGTACTTTAAACAACTTTTGATAATTAGTTTTGACGTGCAGAGCTGCTTGGTTCTTTGTCAAATTTATTATTTTAAATCTGTGTAAAGTTAGAAAAACATTTTAAAAAACTTCTCAATTTTATAAAAAATAACAACAAATAATTTAAGGTAATCAATAATGAATTATGATTAATCATTAAATTTATATTATAAAATTCATTACATTCAGTCTAATGCTTTTAGAACTCTTAGAAAGTAATTTAAGTTATAAAATAAAATTTTAGTCATTTATTTTCTACTCATACTTTTTTATTTTTGATATTTTAAGCTCAATTTAATGTAATCAAGGTTCAAGATTTTATAATAATTAAATTACAATTTTACCCAAATAAGTTTAAAGAACACAAAATGTGTTCTTTAAAACTTTTATAATCCTGCAGATTATTTTTTATTTGTGAATAAACACTTTTTATAAATTATTACTAACAAATTTTTAGATTAAGAGAATGGAAAATTCATTAAAAAATGTTATTCAATTTTGTTGCAAAAGAAACATAGAGGTTTTACTTTTGACACTGACTACATGTTTTGTTCTTATTTCTCATATTTATCATTGGAACGAATATGCTTTTAAAACAAAGATGAACATGGTAAGAAATACTTATTGTTCTTTCAGCTAGTTTAAGCTATCCTATTTCCTTAATTATTTTTAAACTTTTTATATAAGATTTCTTAGCTAGATAACAATAAAAAAAATATATTCTGAAATGGATTTTTATATTTCATGGTTATTTACAAATAGTACAAGTACTAATCTAAGGTAAACGCCAATTAAATAATAATAACAATCATAATATTAAAGTAAATATTATGAGGAAACTTATAATAATAACAATAATACTAAAGAAGAATTAATTTGGACTCTGTATATTGTCTTACTTAGAAAATATTTGAATTAAGTGAAGCTCTTGTTATGTCGGGCTTTTGAAAATGTTTGATTTTCAAGATTTTGATCAATATATAAATATTATGTACATATATATAGAACTATATAATCTTATATGAAATATATATTTTTGTATATATATTAAATATATACTTTTTTTTTGTGTGTGTGTATATATATATATATATATATATATATATATATATATATATATATTTATATATATATATATATATATATATATATATATATATATATATATATATATATATATATATATGTATATGTATATATATATATATATATATACATATATATATATATATATATATATATATATATATATATATATATATATATATATATATATATATATATTACATATATATATATACTTTTATTTACACAGTGTATATATACACATATATATATACTTTTATTTATATAGTATATATATATATATATATATATATATATATATATATATATATATATATATATATATATATATATATATATATATATATATATATATATATATATATATGTATGTATATATATTGTTGTTGGTTTTGTCACTGTTTCATCAGTCATTTCGTTTCCTTCTTTTTGCAATTCTTCTCCAATTACCTCAATGACATCTTGAACAATTTCTTTATCTGTCATCATTCGTCCCATAACTAAAATGTCATCATCAATTGTTAACATATCTTTGTAAGTAAAATCATCTAGAATACGTTGTAACAAGACGATATTGTCTTCAAAGTTGTTTTTCCCAACCCCCCTCTAATCCCTGCCGCCCTCAAGAAGCAGACTTTTCATTGGTAACATCTTAACCTTAACCTATGAAAAATAAGAAAAGCAATTTTAAAATCAGCATAAATTTTATTAGCTGTGGTTTTAGGACTTTATTTGGTTTTTATTATTTTTATTATATTTATTTTTATACACTGCATAAAAAGCAAATAAAGTCTTAAAACCAGAGGTTTTATGCAGTGGGTGGTAATGAGCCAACTGCTATTCAATTGGGAAAATAAAATAACAAAAAAAAAAAAAAGAATTTGACTGATAAACTATTTATTTTGGTCAATGGGATGGAAATAAGTGTTCCATGCTTATTATTCCTTAGACAAATGAATGAAAATATGCAAATATCAATGAAAAAATAAAATGACAAAATTTCTGATATTGTTTTAAACAATACATTGTCTCTTTTTCTCTAATTACTTAACCACTTAACCACCGGATGCTTATAAGTTGTCACAACCGAGTTCTCTTGCAAGCTTTGCAAAGTCAAAATGCTTTGACTTTGAAAATGGTTTCAGAGTACAGTAATGTTTTGGTATCTGGTGTTTAAAAGTCACAATATAACATGCTTTATTCAAATTCTCATTTAAGGAGTCTCGCATCCTCACTCTTTTTGCAAAAAAGTTTTTTGCTGAAAAGACCCTAAAAAACAGTATGAGTAAGCGAATGGTTGGACTTAACCAGGGTTCCACTTAGTTTGATGATTTTATATTAAATTGGAAGTTCAAGGGGAATTGCAAATCCTTCCGACTTATCCAGGATCCCAGTTAATAGGATTCTACTGTATTAGATATAATAATGACAATAATGATTATAGTATTAATAAAATAATTCAATAATAATATTGATAAATATTACAGATGAATATTAAACAACATTTAAGTAATAATAGCAGTAATAAAAGTGTAAATAATATTTGTATTACATATAAAAAAAAATAATAATAACAATAGCAATAACAATAATAATGCACAATGAGCCTAATATTCTTTATATAGTATTTTTTTAACAAAGAGGCAAAAAGAAATAGAATTGAGTGATTGAAATTACTCATTGCATTGGTTTGCGATTTATTACTCTATTTTACTAAGCAATGATTTGTTATAGATAGAACTAAAAGATTGACGATAATATCAAGAACTTTTTTTAGTGGTGAAAAAATTAGAGAAGGAAGTACTTAGGTTTACTTGTTAATGATTCCAAAAATTAGACAATTTTATAGATGAATTTTATAATTTCATAATTTGAGTATTTTTGATTTGAGTATAATTTGATAGAAAGTAAAGGATCTCAGAATTAGAACCATATTGTTAAAAGTATATTATTTTTTAGGCTTTGTTTTATAGGTTAAATAATCTTAAAAAAACATTAGACTTTGTCTATAAATCTGAAAAGCCAAAAAGTACATGGTCTATATTGAGTAAAGTTTTATAATTGACTAATTGCGAATTTTTAAAGATGACTGGAAAAGGATGAATTTGAGTTGATTTTGATTTCAAATTATTTTGATAAAACTTCAGGAATAGTTTTTTGGCCACTTATTTTCAAGTTTATGTGTTAATAGATTGACTTGATTTGAAAATAATGAGTTCAGTTTTGCTGGTTTTAAGACTTAATTTGTTAGAATACAGCCTAACAAATTAAGTCTTAATACAAAATTCCTTATGGGAATTGAGGGATCTAAAGTGTGGAGTGTCAGTCATTTTTAGAATTTCTAATAATTTAAAAACAAAGTTTCATACTAATATAATAATTACTAGTAATAATAAAAACAAACAATAATGATAACAATAAATATAATATTTTATAAAAACCTGTTTGTTTTAGGCAAAAAGTTATTTAAGGAAAAGATTATTATAGCATAATATATTATCTATAGTCCTATATTATTATAGAATTATAGATAGTATTTTATTGATAATTGTATATTATAATATATTGAGTGAGATATGATTATAGTATATTATTAATATATAATATTATGTATTGAGCAATTCAATGCTCGTTTGTGCGTGTTTGCACAGACCTAGTGATAACAATTAAACCAGAGATAATATTCAGAAAGAATCTAATGTAAATATGTGAATATCTAACTTATTTAAATTGATAACAATATGTCATTTACATTTTATGTTAAAATTCTTTTTTTTTAACTTTAGTTCATGGGTTGTATATGGAATAATCATGTATAATATGTATAACTTATAGAAATATTCAAAAATTTAAGTCTTTTTTGCTTATTCTTAACCTAAGCTTGTAAAATAAAACTATATACAGGGCGCAAAAAATCGATGAATGTGCGAACGTCTGCACAAAAAAAGACAGAAAAACGAACGTCACGTTCCTTTACTTTTCCTAACGCAAACGTTGGCGTTCGCCTAAAATTTTTAAAAATTAATCCATTACTATAGCAATTTTTTTTTCCAAACTATTATTATTAATTAACTATCGATCGTTTTTTATTTATTATAAAAAACAGGAAAAACAACTAATTACGAAAACTTCAAACGCATTTTCAAAGACTTTAAATGAAACCACGCTGAAGCTATTTTCTTCAATGGAATGAAGAAAGTAATTAGTATGAGCATGGTTTTTGCATGCGTTTAAAAAAGCATTTAAATTTTTATTCAAAATGAGTCCATTTGCAATTACTTTAAAAAAAACCATGCTTAAATAACGATTGCTTTTTTTAATAGCATGCTTTTTTTTTTCTTCTTATTTTCTTTAAAGTGAAGTAATGTTAGTTTGCATTTTAAAACTTATAAAAGTTTAAAATAATGTTCAAGTTTTGCTAAAAAATACATAATAGAATATATAAAGTTATTATGTTTGTTAAAATTTTAATTTTTTTATTGTGCGTTTAACAACACCAATAATATGATATTTTTATTATTTTATTATTAAATACTTAATATACTATTATTTTTAAAGTTTTTAAAAAAATGTCAAAACAACTAAGCATCTTTTCGATGTTAAAGAAAGATGGTACAGAGGAACGTAGCATCAAACGTAAAGGAGAAGAAGAGAGAGAAACTAAACATGCGAAAAAAAAGTGCAATGACTTGGATTGTGCTATGACTTTGGGAAAATTGGATATATGGCCAAAAGATATTGAATTTATGTTTTGGAACACCGTAAACGGATTGCCGCCAAGCAATAAAAAACACAGGCAACAACTAAGCTGGATTCATATTGACAAATCAAATGAGTGCTTTTCTTGTAGGGTTTGCCAAAAGTATCCAAATATTAGCAATACAACCAATTCAGTAACAATGGGATGTAAATTTTGGAAAAGAACATATTTGTTACGCCACAATAAAGATGATAGGCATAAAGCCTGTATTTCTAAATATCGAGAGAACCTTCACAATATAGCTCCAAGTCTTGAGAAATCTGTATCGACATCAATTTTAAGAACTATTGAAAATAACCAAGAAGAATTGAACAGACTTTTTTGGATATCGTATTTTGTTGTTAAAGAGGATCTTGCATTTAAAAAATTTTCTCAACTGTGCAAGCTACAAAAGCTAAATGGTATTAAGTTGGGCAAGAACTACTTAAGTGACAAATCTTGCAAAAGCTTTGTATCGTCAATTTCTTCTGACTTAAATTCGTATTAAGTTTGGATGTTTCAAATGCTCGTTTTATTGCAATTTTATCTGACGGTTCCACTGATAAGAGTATTAGTGAACGAGGAACAGATTTTTTAAGGTTTGTTAAAAATGGTAATCCAATAACTATATTTGCTGGTATTAACTCACCATTGACAGTTGATGCTGATGGTATATTAAATGCAATAGAATTTTTTTAAAAAAGTTTAACAACAGACAAAATGAATCAAGATTTATATTTAAACAATAGCTATGCAAAAACTGTAAATGTTAACTTTGATGGTGC